CTGCATTTTAGCTGATATGGGACTTTATTTACTGGATGCTAAGATTACATCACACTCACGTAGAATAACACACAGACTCTCTGCTGTTACAATCAGTGGGAGGTTATCATCTGGTGTAAAAGAAGGCGTTGATCAGAAATCACGTTTTATTCCACGAAAATCAGCCAAATCCACATTAATCTGGGTGCTAACTTTACTAGCATACTGTGCTAGCGATAGCAAGCCGGATGCTAACGCTTTAGTGCTGCTAATGCCCGTAAATCTAAAGTAAAGTTTGTCGACATTTTAGAGTGATATGAAGCTTACCGCTCTGCTGCTGTGTCCCGGTGCTGCCAAATTCAGATGGAAATAACTCCTTTTAGATAGATGAAGCCCTCAGTACTTAGCCACTAGCCTGGAGACAGACAGAACGAACGAACCACGCGCGCGCGCACACACACACACACACACACACACACACACACACACACACACACACACACACACACACACAAACACAAACGCACTACTTTTTCTTCTGTGTTTTTTTAGCAGTAGTGTCATCAGCTCCTGGGTTTAAATACTGCCACACCACCCTTCCTTAAAACGAGGAACAGTTTTGAGCTGTGTGTGGCTAAAATAACCAGACATTCTGCATTTTTCCAATAGGACTACAAAAAATCTTAGTGAGAAGAAAAAATGGCGGATTGGCTCTGTGTTTAGCCGAGGGCCATTACCATATTTGGTAGTTATCCTGACGAAATAAATTACTGATGTAATAGATAATGTGAAAAACTGAACGGGTGGACAAATATGCCCAAAACTTAATTATTAAATATCTAAATAGCAACTCCAGTGAATAATATAAGCCTTTTTGCTCACTTAGACACTTAAAATGTGAAACACACTGTGTTAATGGATAAAAAAGTGGGTTTTTCATGTTATGTCTCCTTTAATGCTATGTTCTATGCTCCAATTAAGCAAGATAAATATAACTTGCTACATGACAAAGCCTGAATATATCCCAAAATGAAAAGGTTTATTTTAGCAAATATCTGCCCACAGCCACTCCAACAGAACCGGGCTACAACAGCATTTAAGGACAATTGTTTAATGGGCTCTGGTAGTCTAGTGGCAAAATCGTCAAACTTAAGTTTTGCTTTCCCCTCAGCTGATGTTGGTTCGGCTCTCGGTGGGGTCGGCAGCAATCTATTTAGCCAGCTGAAACTTTTAATTTGTTTATATTTTACTTGTAATGTTTATTTTCTGCTAAATATTTATGTCTCTAAAAGTTCTTTGAATTTGGTCGTTCCTAACCAGCATTTTAGTTGAAACTCTGCTCACAAATGGACTCACACTGGCTAAATAAACGAAGAAATAAATAAAACACATTAGTCATTATATTTTAAACGGTATACCAATAAATGGTTAAAAACATAGTACTGGCAAGTGTAGCTAGAAAAGAAGAAAAAAGTTTGCGCCGCTACCGGGAGGCGAACCTGCACAAAACCACATGCCAAGCTGACTGCAAAACCACTTCACCACTACATCTGATAACAAGCTAGTGGCGTTACATGTAATTGTGCCGTCCAGTGTGTCTTTGTAGATGGGATGTATGGTTTTTTGGCGGTGTCTCAGTAGAAGTCATTTCAGAAATAATTTGTCAAAAAATTCACAGAATATCCAGATTTGAGAACCAAGACCAGACCCGCTTCGGAGGAGAGGACCAAATTGAAGCTGAGATGGGAGGAAAATGTGTGAATGAGGCCAAAAATGGCTTTGGCGTGTTTCTTATGAGGAAATGACAATATAACATTGTAAAAAGTTACAGAAGTTAGATTTTTAATTTTATGGAACCTTTACAAAAACGGTTCAATTAACCTCTCAACTCCGTCCTCAATATTGCATTTTAGCTATAACACCCTCTTTGGTTCCAGAATGCTATTAAGTCTGACAACTGGAAGGAATTGGACTGACTCTGATGGAATGGGCGGGGCTGATTCTGGAATGGGCGGTCCTGACTCTGGTGCAGCTCCACCTTCTGGTGCAGCTCCGCCTTTGTGGTTCTGCAGCGAGCACCACTTGCCTCCGGGGAAATTCTAAGGCATTCCCTGACCAGCCATGAAACATAGTCTCTCCAGCATGTCCTGGGTCATCCTTTAGGCCTTCTCCTGGTTGGACGCACCTGGAAAACCTCACCAGGGAGCCGTCGAAGAGGCATCCTAACCAGATGCCCGAGCCACCTCAACTGGCTCCTCTCGATGTGGAGGAGCAGCAGGTCTACTCCGAGCCCCTCCCGGATGACAGAACTTCTCATGCTATCTCTAAGGGAGAGCCCAGCCACCCTGCGGAGAACACTCATTTCGGCCGCTTGTACTTGCAATCTCATTCTTTCGGTCACTACCCAAAGCTTGTGCACACACCAACTCAGGCTCCTTCCCCACCATGGAGGTGACATTCCACGTACTGAGAGCCAGCTTCTGTAGCTGAGGATCAGAGAGCCAAGATCCCTACCTTCAGCTACGACCCATCACACATTGCACCCGACCCCTTTGGCCCCTCCCACAAGTGGTGAGCCCATGGGAAGTCCCACAATCACGAGGGTTAGATACGGTTTATATCTCTGTTCCCTCGCCAGAGCTTAATTCTGGTGGTAGAACCGGGTTTCCGTGGAGAGTGCCAGCATACGCAGCGCCCCCAGCTGATCCTTGCAGTAAATAATTGATTAATGTGCAGAGCTGCCGGAATTTCCCAGAGCCCTCCCAGGATGTTCCATAATCAGTACAAAAATGAACACCGTTTCCTCTCCTAGATATTACGTCTCGCTCTGCAGCATCTTTGTTTCTCCGTAATTCTGGAGACCGAACTGACAAGTTCCATGGAGAAGTGAGCTGCAGTAAAAAAGCTAGCATTACCTGCGCCCACCTTAAGGGCATTAAAAGACATATAGAGAAGACAAAGCAAAGAATAGCGACAGAGTAACAAAGTGAGAGGTGCTGCTACTGGCTGCAGCCCACCCCGTGTTTTCTTTAACTGAATGCGATCTTCCCTGTTTCGTACTTTGGAGTTCATCTTCACAGTAGCGATTCACCGCAAAATAAAGCTACCGGAAATTTAACACTCTACATCCAGTCTCAAAACAGGAAGTTAGCATTTTCTCGTGCACAGGATCTATTGACAGTGCTATAAATTCCCCTGCCACTCTGGTCTTTACTCAAAAATAAAGAGTGATTCAGATCCCATGACGGTAGAGCGCACCATTCAGCACGTCAGTGTATAGCCAGCCACAAATTTATTAGTTTGTTCATTACTTTTGCCCAAAATATTAAGCAGAAGCTGACCTTTCTCTGTAAGATTTTGATTTCATGGGAATTACAACAAAAATGGTAATGCTTATTAATGAAATTTAGTCTTAGAAAGTTCACTTGAGGTACTTTCTAAAAATATATTTCATCTTCATAAATGTCAATAGGAAAGGTAATCTATTGGATCAAGACTCTAAATTGGATCAAATTGGAAGTTAAAAAATGCAGATAGGAACATCCCTAATTTAAACCTCTCTTCATCAGGAAATCGGTTCAGTTCTGGAACCAACAATACTCAATAAAAGTCACGCACACACTGGCACGCTGTTGTGGTGCTAACTCCAAAAAGATGCCGTACTTCTGTAGTCAGAGCCAGTAGGTAGCTTCCGCAAAGCATTGGCCACCCTCTTCTTGAAAGGAACACAGCGGCGGGAGGATACACCTTGTTGCTCTAGAGTGGGGCGCAGTTTGTGGCAGGGGTAGAGAAACGTGGTTTTAGACATTCTGAAGTCAAGCAACCACAGTGTGCTTGTGAACCCAGGGACAATAGCATTCCTCCACTCAGAAGCACGCTTAAATGCCCAGACCAATGGTCTGCTGTGAATATTTTAGAAGAGAGCCATCTGAAATACACGCAATGTACATGTACAACTAAGGTATTTTGAAACTATTCACAATCACAGTACTTCAGGGCATAATCTTTTCAGCTCTGTGGAGTACTAGAGTAGCATTAGCATTAGCTTACTCTCAAACGTGTATTTCCAGTGACTTTGAACACTCCTGTATATCTGAGCCTGTTTTAGGTTGAATGAAGCTGTATGGCTTTATACACTCTCCCGTACTTCTCCCATACTTCTTCCGAGTTCTCCTCCATGCAGCATCCAGCCTCCTCCAAGCTTGTTGTCTTCGAACTATCTCTAAACTCCACAGATCCAAGGCAATGCTCAAAAACACGAGTAGATGCTCTGTTGTTTTTCCACATTCTGAGCCTGTCTTGGATACACCCAAATTCTCACCCACAACATTTTCGCGCCACATGCCACCACCCCCAACAACAGTTTTTTATTTTGTCTGCTGGAGTTGGCAAGGAAACAAAACAACCCTGAGGTTGGCTGATGCAAGCCACGCTGTATTGGGCTGTTATACTCTGAGTAGTGCTGCTGGAAAACTACCTTAGAACTTCCACTAGATGGTGCTACTCAAACCCAATTAGACTAAAGATAATAAGACATCATTAAACAATCTCAGATTCAGCAGATTATCATGACAAGCCATCTATCCGATCATTAATGGACAGGAATGTTAGCTGGAGGACAGAGATAGAAATGTCAGAGACGTTCTGCAACCAAAGCCTTCAGGCAGAACATGTTCCTGTTTCTGTCAGTAGTTACTCGATAAAGAGTATGAAATGATCAGGCAGAATATTTAGACAGACTCCGCCTCATTATCATACATTTATTCTACCATCAGACGTCTCCTCTGTTGTTGTTCTTTCCCTGAAAAGCAGCGTTTACTCTTACAATGAGAACTAAAAACAGCAAGAAAACACTCAGAAGTCTGAGATCAGGATTTGTTCCTGCAGACACTGGAGGAATGTCAACCACTGGTTTGTGTCTTTTCTGTTTTTAGAGATGACACATAAATGAACTAAATGTTTGTGAACATCCACTACACATTTCACTAGAAGTATAATCAATTATTTATGTTTTCTTACAGCTTTTGTGATGGCAACAGAGGCCCACAGATTAAAGATGTTTCCCTCTGGAGGAGGAGAGGCCAGGACTTCAGTGTGCTGCTGGACTACACTGACCTCAGAGAAGCCTGTGGGAGGGAACAGGGGGGACATGACAGGCCAGAAGGTCCTCAACAAGCAAGAGGCCAAGAGCTCTCCATCGAAGATCGACGGAGAGCAACTCAGGAGAGGCAACGCTGGGCAGCACAAACCCAGGCTCAGACCCAGGCCAAGGCCCTGACTCAAGGCTGTTCTAGAGAGAGGGAGGCAGCACTCCATCAGTGGAGGATGACAGCTGAGAGGAAGTGCCAGAGCCTAGGGACAGAAGACTGGCATCCAGCTGTGAGCTTTGGTCATCAGTTCTCTCAGAATGACAGTGAGCACTGGGCAAAGGAACAGAAACGACTGCATGCCAGAACACCAGAAGGGATTGTAGTCCACCCAGGGACCAAAGTGAAATCTCAGTCCCTGCCCAGGATGCTCCCACCCGAGAACTTACATTATGTGGATGTAGCCTCGTCTGGTCAGGAGCTGAACAGGCGGGTCAATGGTCACCCACTGTCCTACCAAAACCTCTACAGGGCACGCTGCTGGCCAGACAATGGTAGGCCAGCTAGTGCCAACCAGCTCTCAACTAAACCAAAGCCCCGCTTCACCCGACCTCCTAGACCTCCTTCTTATGAAATGCACCAGCAAATCAGGGGAAGCTGTGAGGTGCTGTCTGGCAGAGAATCAGTCCCACCCCCGGCCAGGGACAGAACCCCCCTTCCCATATCAAGAACTACAGACCCTCATTTGGACTATTTTGCACAGGACTCTGGACCCCCAGGATACATCCCTCCTCCGTCATACAAAAGAGTTCCTATAATGGGAGCAGTGAGGCGTGGATATGGAGAAGTTCCTGTTGACTACAGGTCTGTTTTTTCACTTTTACTTTCTTTAATTTCTTACTACATTGTCACTTGAGGTCAGACAAGCACAGACTCCTAGGGCCTTTTAGATGAAAGTAAAAATTCATATTTATGCTTTGGCATTTTTATAAGGCTTGGAGTAAAGCTCACTTGTGTACTTTTAATATGTCATTGTCTTGCTTTTTATCAGTCTACATGTATTTTGTTCTTTTTATTTTGTTGTATTTACAGTTTTTTTTTCTGTACAGCACTTTGGGCATCAGTTTGATGTAAGAAATAGCTCTAAAAAGTTGATGATACACCTGGAAGAGTTAGACTTTAGCGACTAATCACTAGTTTTGTTGATGATTAGTCGACTAATCGTGTCATTCATAAAAGTTTAGCTTATTGCACCAGGATGCCCTAACATATCATCATTAGCTTCTAGTCTGAAGTGTGATCAGCTATGTGCCATCTAGTAATAAAGACAAGATGATAGCTTATCAAACAACGTTTAATTAACTTTGTAACCTGTTAATACAAATGTTACAGTCAAATGGAGATAGGCAAAACAAAAATTAAATTGTACACAAAAATGACATGCTAACAAATGTATCCAGCTAAAAATGTCATTCATGGCTTTGTAACAAACCCATCCATGGAGCACTATCTAGCACTCGTCCCAGGGACTCCAAAAAGGGTGGGTACTCTGAACTGATATTTGGCCCATAAGCACAAACAACAGTCAGGACCCGTTCCCCGACCCCGAAGGTGCAGGGAAGCTACCCTCTCGTCCCCCGGGGTAAACCCCAACACACAGGCAGAGAGTCTTGGGGCTAACAAAAAGCCAACCCCAACCCTCCGCCTCTCACCTGGAGCAACTCCAGCAAAAGAGAGTGTCCAACCCCTCTCAAGGACTCGGGTTCCAGAGCCAATGCTATGTGTCGAGGTGAGTCCGACTATATCTAGCCGGTATCGCTCAACCTCTGCCACAAGCTCCTGCTCCTTCCCCACCAGCGAGGTGACATTCCATGTACCAAAAACCAGTTTTCTTGTCTGGGGATCGGACCGCCAAGGCTCCCGCCTTGGTCTGCCACCCGATCCACATTGCACCGGACCCTTCATGTTCCTCCTGCGAGTGGTGGGTCCACAGTTGGATGAGCCCATGTATCCGGTTCGGGCTGGGCCCGGCCAGGCCCCATGGGCGAAAGCCCGGCCATCAGGCGCTCGCTCACGGGCCCCAACCCCAGGACTGGCTCCAAGGTGGGACCCCGGTAACCCTCCGGGCCGGGTACTCCGACTCTTTGACTTTACCTCCATGAAAGATCCTGTGAACCGTTCTTTGTCTCACCCTTCATCTAAGACCAATCTGTCATGGGAGACCCTACCAGGGGCACAAAGTGCCCCAGACAACATCGCTCCTAGGATTATTAGGGCACTCAAACTCCTCCACCACGATAAGGTGACGGTTCAAGGAGGAGACATTTAGCCCTTCACCACTGAAATCAGTTTGTTCATTCCAATCCTCCTAAATAATTCTCCAATCATCCAACTGGAATCCTTAAGGGTCCCGTAACGTCCATCCTGTCAGAACAGGTCTTGGGAGCCCAGGTGTTACTAGAACTAACGGTGTCTCCTCACCAGCGTGAGTCTCCAAACTGTGAAGGTTGGTCTCCAAACATGAATGAATGAATTATGATATGTTACACCTCCCAGACCAAAGATAGGTACAATATAAGATTAAATATCATCAGAAACACTATAGAGACGTCATTATTTGTGAAATAAAAGTAATTTTCCTGAGCCATTACTTCAACCAAGAAATAAGATGCAGGGATTTGATGAAACCGCGTTGTCTCATGCAGTCCTATATGTGTAACACACACATACACACACACACACACACACACACACACACACACACACACACACACACACACACACACACACACACACACACACACACACACACACACACACACACACACACACACACACACACACACAGCAGCATGTTAGAATCATTTCAATGACAAATTTAACTACATTGAACTGCTTTTGTGATACTTTAATCTCCTATTCTGTAGTAAAATAAAAAAAAACTAAATCATCACATATCTGTGGAATTAAGAAGAAACTTGTGAGTTGAAAGATAGGGATGGATCACAATGTTTACAACTGAAACAGTATCAGGATGTTTAAACTCACAGAGGCCTGCAGAGCACTGAGAATTGGCTTGTTATGAGAGCTAAACGTTATTTTGCCGCTGCCGTGCGGAGCGGTAGGGAAACACATTTCAAACATGGAACCCAGTCTGGCTACCGAACCCATAGATTTGTAAATAAACACGTTATTTACAAATCTATGACTGAACCGAGCAGAATTCCGGTGACGTCACACCGGTGCGCGAAGGTGCGGGTTCCAACCCACAGGAGAGGAGGGAGAGAGGAGGTAAACAGCGAGTGGATCACAGGGACTGAACTGATATTTTTGACCAAAAAGCGTACACCCACGGTTTAGACGCGGTGCTCATGCAGGTGTCTCCTTTTGTTTCGACGCTGCTACACGTAATATTTTTAATTTATTAAGCCGATAATTTGTTTTTACTCAGTAACAGATATGATTTAAAATGTAGCGAATTACAATTCTTTTTTAAAAACTTACTCAAGTAAAAGTAAAAGTACAGCTTTTAAAGATGACTTCAAAAGTATAAATGTACAAAAAAAGCTACTCAATTACAGTAACGTGAGTAAATGTAATTCGTTACTTTCCCTTTCTGCAAGTGAGGTTTTCCAGGCGTGTCCAACCGGGAAAGGCCTAAAGGAAGACCCAGGACACGCTGGAGAGACTACGTCTCACAGCTGGTCAGGGAACGCCTTAGGATTCCCCCGGACGAGCTGGTCCAAGTGGCTGGAGAGAGGGAAGTCTGGGCCTCCCTGCTTAGGCTACTGCCCCCACTTTCCCCTAGCCCTAAGATGCCGAAAATGGATGGATGGATGATAAAAAGTATCAGAGCCAGTTTGTCTTCAAATGTTTTGAAAAACTCTACCAAAAACCCATCAACCAATACCCATGACAAGTATTGTTCTGAAATCGGTCTACATTTGTGTTAGTGAGCACTTTTCCTTTACCAAAGTAATATTCCACCTCACAGGTGTGGCATATCAAGGGACTGATTAGACAGCATGAATACTGTACAGGTGTGCCTTAGACTGCCCACAATAAAAGGACACCCTGACATATACACAGTTTTGCTTTATGGGGGTGGTGGGGCAGAAAACCAGTCAGTATCTGGTGTGGCCACCATTTGCCTCACGCAGGGCAACACATCTCCATCGCATAGAGTTTATCAATTTGTTGATTGTGGCCTGTGGAACGTTGGTCCACTCCTCATCGATAGCTGTGCGAAGTTGCTAAATATTGGCAGAAACTGGAACACGCTGTTGTATACACTGATCCAGAGCATCCCAAACATGCTCAATGGGTGACATGTCTAGTGAGTATGCTGGCCATTCAAGAGCTGGGATGTTTTCAGCTTCCAGAAATTGTGTACAGATCCTTGCAATATGGGGCCGTGCGTTGTCATTAGGGATGAGCGAGTACACCACTGTCTAGGGTTGTCACGGTAATCGGTATAGCGGTAAACCCCGGTAAAAAAGTTGACAATAAAAATAACCGTCCAGTTTTTAAAAAACTATATTATCTCCGTGGGTTTACCGTGGCCGCGGTTTCGGCGCGATGACCCTTACCAGCCACCGTCGCTTCAGCTGAAGTTCCCGCGGCGCGCACACTCAATTTTTAATTTGCAACGGCACCAAAACTTTGAAGCTGAAATAATGGCCGAAGGAGGAGACGGCAGCGCCCAGGACATCCATCAGCCCTCAAAGAAGACTAAATCGGAAGTATGGGCATATTTTGGATTTCTGAAAAATGCTGAGGGACAGTTAATAGAAAACTGCTATCCCGTTTGCAGAACGTGCAGGAAACAAGTGTCTGCAAAAGGCAGCAACACTTCGAATCTAATGGCACATCTGCGTGACCATCACCCACGTCTCTACAGCCAGTGCAAGGTAAGTTAACATTAGCATTTTAGCTTAAATGCATGACGTGAGGACTTTTGGTTGAGGGAGAATGCAACGAGTCACTATATACTGCAGCCGCAGCGTCCTCTGCCAGCATTTAAACCGTGTCACGGACACCCTGTTGCTGGATGAAGCACCTTATTTGTTGAAGATGAAGAGAAATATACAATTAGTTCCTTGTCATTGATTTGTTTACTTATTCAATGCCATTTATACTTGAACATTTGGATTTGATTACATAGTGTAGTAGTTATTTTAGTAATTTGTTTAAAGTGGCTATTTGTTTTAAATACATATTTTTTTAAGGTTGACTTCAAGTCAAGTGTGGACTGGAGTTTTAGATTTTCATTTTGATAATGAAGAAAACAAGTATATGAGAAAACAAGTGGTGTTTCTTTGATTTGTTTACATATTGTTTATGTTTCGAATGTTTGGATTTGTATAATTTAAACCTGCACTGACTACTGTAACATGTTCCAGAAAAAGAAACTATTTGTTCCTTTACTTGTGAAAAGTTGCACTTTTGCTAAGGCTTTGTGTTATTTTAGGTTTAATAAACACTGTTAAACCTTTTCAGAACTATTTCAGTTTGTGTAGAACAGGACTATCAATGCTTTCTGAACATATGCAACACCGTTTAAAAAATACCGCGATAATACCGAAAACCGTGATAATTTTGGTCACAATAACCATGAGGTTAAATTTTCATACCGTGACAACCCTACCACTGTCTGTATCTGTATCTGTTCAACCAACTAAATTATCTGTATCTGTACTCGGAATGGGCGTGGCATAACCCGGAAGTGGGCGTGGCTTAACCAGAAGTGGGAGTGGTATATTATTTTAAGTCTGAAATTGATATGGATTGATCAGAAGTTGATATATGTGTGGTTTATTTGAAAACTATTTACAAAGCAGCCTCAGAATAGAGAATAAATATTT